ACTGAGGAGAGCTGAGAGGGTCTTAACAGTGAACCCTCTCTTCAGCCTCAGAAGGCAAATAAATAGTTTCTCCCTTGAAGGAAAATCACTTTTAGGGCCAGTTCTGGCATTATCCTTTGTAGGACAATCTTTTCCGGTCCAATAGTGGATGGACTCCAAAGGACAAACCGCATCTAGAAAATTATGTAAAACCTCGAACTGCAAAGGTGTGAGGCCAATGAAGTGTTTCATGAGAACTGCATCCCGCACAATGTTTTCGTAAGACAAAGTACTTACTATTTTGGGAGGTGGAAGCTTCAAAGTAGAAACTTTGTTCTTCAAAATCATGATTTCGACCTTTGCAGACAACTCATATTTTGAATATACAGTCTGAGATTCTTGATCCGAAACCAGCTTCCTCGACAAGTTCTCATACATGTGCTTGTGCTTGTGCATCACATCACACATCACTTGATCTTCGTCAAATATTGTCGATTCATTGATGGCATCGGTTGTGCTAGACTCAAGTAGTTCCGGATCGTCAGTCGGTATAAACTCCATAGATTCATCTGATTGCTCGCCATAGTTCTCTTTAATTACCTTGTTTTGCTTTGTCACCGGCTCCTCTCTCCATTTTGGGGCCTTTCTCTTTGGAGCGGATGCTCGTCCTGCTTGTTTCGGTGTGAGATTTGCTTTGAGCGGATCTGGAAACTCGTCTGTGGGACCTTTTCCTCCGGGCCAGTGAAGAGCACAAATGTACGTGTTTTTGTTAACGATTTTCTCCGTAAAGAATTCCCATGAACATGCCACTAACCAACGCTTGCACTTTGCAAGGTCTTTCGCCAGTTTCGGGAAAGGTATGAATACTTTCTACCCCAATTTCTCCAACTCTTTTAGTGATTCCCGCCATTTTTCTGGATATCTTCAGTCTGTTTTGCACTCACCCCAACAGCAGTGTCTGGTGCCTACCATTTCTCTTGTTTCTAGAACGATAAACCGAAGAATTGACTAAAATTTTTGCTTTTAGGATCACAACCGCGGCTGCCGCTCATACATTTGCTTTGTTTTGCTCGCAATGTTTGTCTAACTCTGTGCGGGGGGTCTCATGGGATCTCACGCTGACAAATCTATTTTTAGTAATAGTGCGCTTCGCTATTCCTCACCTCTCTTTACTGTGTACATGGGGCAAACAAGTATGCCTTATCTAGTCTCCGTGTGCAGGCCTCAATATCAGGTCTGCTCACCCCTAGAGATGCCCACAGATTTAAGTGGAACAGATTTGCAGGCCTCCAAGAAGGACCTGGCACAAGAATATCAAACGACTTGTGCTCAGAGCAACATAACAACATGGCTAAAGAACATATCCGGGCAATTGGTGTGCAAAACATCAATGACTAAAGTGTTGAAGAAGCCAACAAATCAGAAGGATCAATGGAGAAAATAATAATTGGAACACATTGTCGACTTTCTGTTGAGAAGGGAAAATGTCATCATTCCAACAAGATTAAGGGCAGGGTTTTCTCAAACATTTTAGAGCAAGTTAATCACAAAAGAAAAACATTCAAGCATACTGTTGGCCAGGGCAGAGTTGTTCAAAGGTGGCTTAAAGTAATCCAGGGTTGGTGTGAAATTTGAATTCAGATGTGAAAATCAAAATTTGTCTACAATTTGATAAAAGGATGCTCTAGATAGAGAAAATTATTGGAGAAAATGCTTTTGAACAAAAAGAGAAACCCAGATTGACATTTAACCCCAGGTTAGTGTTAATCGGTCTTCAAACAACTGGGCCTGGGAGTGTAAAAATTTCCCAAAGTTACAGAGAAATATCTTTCGTGCCCTTGACAAAAAGTCCACACATCAATGGATCACTGCAAACGGCACAGGCGAAACCCACACCTCTGTGGACAAGTATAACCTGTTGATCAGAAGTATGTCTTTCGATGTAAACATTTTCTGATAAAAGTACTCCTGTTTGAGTACCTAGAAATAAAAGTACGCAATCAGATCTTAATCCAAGACTGGGTTGTTCCATGCATGATTAAGATAACTCAGGGTTAGCGCACAATTTGAATGTAAAAGATTTAGTCGCATTAAGTGTAATGCTTTCTGTCCACTATTTAAAGATTTTATGCTATAACAAATACCAAAAAATAAACGGAGATAAACAATTCAGCCCCAAGTTATTGCTCAACACCTTTGGAAAACTTTGTCCCAGATGTCTAATACAAAATTAATCCTGGCTTAAAACAAGGCAGCCATGATCTGTTTGTCTAACAAAATTAAATTTAGCAAAATGTCCTTTGGAAACCTATGCATGATGTACTTAACCTTTTCAGCCCTAATAGAGACCTTGCCTCAGAACAACTGATGGGATCTGAGTAAGGGTTAAGAGATGGAGATTTTCCCCGGGAACTAACCATATGACCCCCTCAGGCCACTTCAGACATGACTATCTAATTAAATATGCATATTTTAGTACATGCTATTTAGAATGGTTTGCTTCAATCAGTGCTCCTGAAAAGTGAACTACAAATGTGTCTCAGCGAAAAAAACACGTGAAACGTGATTTCAAATAATATGTGACATCGCAACGTCAATAATGTCGCAAAACACGTTTTCCTAAATGGGGAAGGGTTGCAAACCTTAATCTTAGGAATTTTCACTACCAAAATGTTACATAAACAGGATAAATCATAAATTCGCCTTGTATGATTGGAAATGTTATTTATCCTATTAGCTGTTTAACTAATTAATAAGTCACATAACCCTTTTCCCTTTATTTACCAATTCCTATATAATGTAAATACACATACAAGGCGAATTTATAAGAACCTTTTTAATAGCCTCTGAAATGTACCTAAAAGAACTTGTTGCTCTTTCGTCATCCTTTCCCCATTTTAGAGTAAATACTTTGACTGTTAATTCACATTAGTCACGTGACGAAAATTTGAGCTTGTAAAATGCACTCATATTGCTAAGGCCATTAAGCTACATTTGTAGTTCAATTTTCAGGATCATTGATAGAAGCAAACCGTTCTAAATAGCATTGTATCAAAATATGCATATTTATTTAGATGGTCATGCCTTGAGTGGCCTGAGGTCCCAGGCTCTTCAGGAACTGAGTGAAACCGTTTGATGCCGTCCCTCTGTCAGCTGCCTCTACAGCTTTTCCATCCTTGCACAGACAGTTAACTCCTTGTGAAGTACCCAATAGAGAGGCCAGTTGTCTTTGAGGCACCAGGATCGATAGTCCTGTTTGGCAAAATATAAGTGGAATACACCCTTTCTCCCTGTAGATCCAGCTGATTCCAGGTCGTAGATCTGCACAACATAGTCATCAGGTTTTCTCTGATTGTTCACCAGTTTACTAGGTTTCTTAATGGGCTGGGTATTTTTATTATTTTGTCTTTATTTTCATTTGCCATATAGAATAAATATTACAGAAAGAAAAGGAAATATATATATATTATTACCAAAATTGCAAATTTACAGGACAGGAAAAGCTACAAAAATAGTTCAAAATAAAATGTGATATTAAGTGGCTTAACTTTTGTAATAGGTAGAGCGGTGAGGAAGCTGAATAGAAGCTAAATAGCTCGTAGAAATTGGGCTCCTCATAGTTAATTATGATTTAATGTAAGCTGCCATATCATGATCAGGCGAGTTTAATTTATAGCTCACTCGATAAGGTATTTTTTCAGTGAAGTTTTGAAAGTGGAGTAACTTGTCTGTAAGATGCTTGTAGAAGGCACAAGTGTAATAAATGGACCCAAGCGTAATAAAGGTCCCCTCTGTAATAACTTTTGGACCCAAGCGTAATAAAGATCCCATCTGTAATAACATTTGGACCCAAGCGTAATAAAGGTCCCATCTGTAATAACATTTGGACACAAGCGTAATAAAGTTCACATCTGTAATGAACTTACATAATATGAGACATGTCCACAATAGTACCTTAAAACCTTAAATTATATGGCTGACGTCACAGTCACGTGACCAAGCTATTTGAATGGAAAAGTATAGGCCAACAACTCTTGTCGTGGCTCTCGCGCTAGTTTTCGCATTTACTGACCACGACTGAACATGCTTTAAAAAAAGGTCAGTTTCAGAACAAGCAAATATGTCGCATCTTTCCCGTTCCATTCGCTTTGATAAACGGATAGGTTAAACAGTTTTCAATACAGTGGAATTGTGTTCATTTCCCCCCCTCTGTATTCATTTCGGTCATTTTCGCATCTTTTCACTCACGGCTGAATTTGGCCACATTTAGTAACATAACTCCCTCAAAAGGTGAGGTATAAGTATTACGATTCGCCTCGAGTTTTTTAACCTGACAGTAAACTCCTGCTCGTTTTTTGAATAGCCTAAAAATCTCCCATGTAGATCAACTCATTCTTGCTCTAATATCTAGACTTGGGCTTACTTTGCTCTACAAAATTGGAAAGAAAGTCTAGCCGTATCTTTATCAGGTATAAAGACACTCATTAAACACTACTTTCTTTTGTTTTTCCTTTATGAATTATTAATGAGTTTTGAAATACCATGTACAATGTCAGAGGTCACTCGATAAAATCTCAATTTCATTAATATCTTCATTGTTTTAACATTAGACTCACCCTCACTGGCCATAAAACATCGGAGCCAATCAATAAGTAGGCAATTCATGGCACGGAACAGAACAGGCAGAACGTAACAGGAACTGTTACATTCAAAAGAAATCAAATTGTTGCATACTCTAGAGTGGGGCGTATGATTCAGAACAAATAATTCACAACTTTATTTTGACCTTGACTTAACAACAGTTTTGATTCCATAGACCTTTCGCTTCCGTTTAAGTTATGTGTCTTGAAAAAGGCAGTTAATCTACCCAACATTGACGAGAATATCAAAACAACTCAAGAAGAGAGAGAGGCATTAAAAATACAACAACGTAAAACACAAAGTGATATGCATGGCAAGGAGTTAAGTCTAAGTATTTATACAGTAATGAACCATATGAAGGACCAACACATGAAACAACTGTTGAACTAGAAATAGATAGTGATGAAATATATAAAATACAAAGAAAAATCCTTGATAAATATACTACTGATACTAAACAGATACTTAATAGAAATTTGAAACTTTATAGTTATTAATATAATATTTAATAAATATTATATTTAATGTTTTTCTAACTGATTAATATAAAATATAATATTTTTTATTTTTGCATATTCTTTTATAAGATTTTTATACTCTTCATTATCAATTTTTAATGAAATAAAATAAAAAAAATGATAATCTTCATCATTTATATTTTCATAAAAATTAATAAATTTTTTAAAAATTTCTTTTTTAATCTCATTTTTTTTAATAATTAATTTTTCATTTATTTTAATTAATTCAGTTAAAATTTTTTCCATTTCTAAAACATTAATATTCTCTATAATCTCATTATTATAAAATATTAATTTTTTTGTTTTTTCATATTCATCTTTAAGATTTTTATACTCTTTATCATTATTTATTCCTGTGTTAAAATAAATAAGATCAGAATCTTCAATATTTATATCTTTATAAAAATTAATAAAATTTTTAAAAAGTTTTTTTCTAATCTCATTTTTTTTAATAATTAATGTTTCATTTATTTTAAATAATTCAGTTAAAATTTTTTCCATCTTATCTTATTTATTTTATTTTTCTAAACCATTTTTTATTCACTATCAACTGGTGTATTCTTTAGTAGTTTAACCTTCTCAACTTTTGTGTTTAAATCCCGAACACTATCAACTATTTCAACAAAATTTGAGTAAATATCAATAAGTCTATAAAGTTTTTTCTTTTTATCACTATTTAATCTCAACCATGAATATTCATCATTTCTAATTTTTTTCCACATATCACATTCACTAACCATTAGCACTCTTG